AGAGAAACAGCACAATATTAAATTATCCTGGTGGGAAAACACCCAATTAAGATCTAGATACAATAAAGATGCAAAGGAGGGGTTTGAGGAAAGTGAGAACGAACTGGACAAGATTTGGTTATCGTCAAGTGATAAACTAATTCAGAAAATATATTACTGGTTATTGGAGGATTACATGCGCGATGAAATAGTGAAAACTTCGATGATTGCTTGGATGCAAGATCTAGGCTATACAATAAATTTAGATGAATGGCATAGTGTTTAGAAAAAACTGAAATTCTTAAGGGCAGTGTCTTTTAAAGTGAATGTTTATAAAATGCATTATAGGTGGTATTGGTCACCTGATAGAATTGCTAGGTGTCAGAAGAATGTCTCAAATTTATGTTGGAAATGCAAGTCGAATATTGGTACTTTCTACCATATGTGGTGGAGATGCCCAAAAATACAAAAATTTTGGGAAATGGTGCAAAAAATAATAGGGGAAATTCTGAATGTAACTGTAGAATTAAAGCCTGAGATCTATCTGTTAAATATAGTAACAGGGGATCGACAAGCACACCGGGAATTGTATATTTTGCTTATATCTTAACAATTTCTAGGATTTTGTTAGCAAAATATTGGAAGATGGACAGAATACCAACTCGAGAAGAAATTGCCTTAAAACTGATGCAAGCTGCGGAAATAGATAGAATACATGCACAATTGCATGGGACTGATGATAAGATGATAAATAAAAGATGGACAAAAGTAAGAAAATGGGTAGAATGCAATGTATAGAGGACATATATACTGAAACTTTGAAGATGGAATGTATGTGAACATGTTTTTTTTTTAAAAAAAAACCAATAAAATGTTTATTAAAAAATGAAAAAAAGAAAGAAAGAAATCAACCTTTACAAAATGGCAGAAATTACTAAATATTTTTAATGGTCATATAAAAGACCTTGGGTGTGGGTATGTGTGTGTAACTCACCCAAAAAGGGTGGTTTCAGTATCCTCGATTTAAACCTATATTACCAAGCAGCTAATTTAACTAATGTAATTAGAATAATTAATAAACAAACTGAAAATTCATGGCAGATTATAGAACAGTCATACACATACCCACTTTTGCTGAATGAGGCATTTTGGAATAAACCTCAAGAACGCCCCAAATCAACTAAGGTAAATCCCTTTTGTCCATTTCATTAAAGATCTGGGATATGTGGAACAAAAAATTAGCCCCAGAAAGTTCACCACTACAAACTTTTCTCAATCAAGAATGGTTCTTACTGGGTAAAGAAAACCCCCTTTTTACAAATCAAAATATGGTTACAACTTTACAGGATCTCACTAGGAAGGGGATTATTTTAGATAAATTAGATCTAGAGGAACAAATGGGTACTAAACTAAACTGGTACCTATACCTTCAAGTAAAGAATGTGATGGAACAACAGAACACTAAACAAGCCTTCCGAAGACAGAAAACGGAGTTTGAAAACATATTGAGCTCCAATGATGGTGACATCAAAGGGCTTATATCGACAGTATACAAAATACTCCTTAAGGAAGATTAAAAAATCAGTCTCCAAAAATTCTTCAATCATGGCAACAAATTAGTTCCATAACACTGTCTGACCAACACTGGGAACAGGTCTGGAGATCACCAATGCTAATTACTAAAGCGATCCCAATCAGAATTCAATATTTTAAATTAATCTACCACTAGTATTACACTCCCCATAAACTACACTATTCCAATAAAAAGATCTCTCCACAATGTTGGAAAAAATGCGGAGGTATCGGGGCCTGCATTCATTGCTGGTGGTCATGTCCTATCTTGGTACCCTTTTGGAAACAAATACTAAAAACCATAGCTAAGATCACAGGAATTAAACTCCTGTTTACACCAGAATCTATGTTGTTAAATATTTGGACAGAAGTTCCAGGGTTATTTCATTATAAAGACCTACTCTCTAAATTGCTGGCTGCAACTAAAACAACAATTGCAGCTAAATGGAAAGATCCCTTCCCTCATGCTTTACAAACAATGGTATCAAAAGATCTGGGAATATTTTATATTAGAGAAAGTTTTTGACAGTCTTAAAAAATCTAACTCTGAAACGTACTTAAATGGTTTATTCAAAGCGTGGCATCCAGCATTTGAATTCTTGTCTTCATAAACCATAGTACCCTCAGCTATAGGCTCTGAGGAATTTTGTTGCCTTTAAATAATTACTGCAGTTCCATAGACTTTGTATTGTATAACATCAAGGATATTGTAACTCAGTTGTAAAGTGATTGAAGGTATCAGCCATAATGTAAATATTCTAATTTAATATTTTGTAACTTCACGTTGTTGGTTTTTTTATCTTCTTTTCTTGTATGCTAGGGTTTTGTTTAAATAAAATAATTTAAATTTTAAAAAAACCTAATGCTAAAATGTGTGCATAAAACCTGAACCACAAGGATTTAAATGGAAGGTGCCTGCTGGACGTAACTGCGTAGCTGCAATAGGGCAATTGTGTAAATTTTAAAAAACTTTGGATGCCACCCCCCTCATGTCACAAGTGATGTTCCACCCTGATTTAGAAAAGTGTATTTTTAAAAATTGTAGCTGCAGGAAAAAAGTACTGGAGGAAAAAGAATGGTCCGTAAGGTGGGCACAGAATCCGAAGTCAAGATTAAAGGCTTACTGCTCTGAAGATCTGCAGTAAGATGTGTGTGTGTAATGGGCCTTTAGATGGAGCAGAGCTCTTCTTATGCTGTTAGGGAGCAGAACTTTCAGAGATGAGAGAAACATGTTTCTGCCATAGTAATTCCACAGTGGTAGCTGCTCAAAAGAGAACAATGATCTCTTGAACAATTCAATTAAATTTAACGTACTATGGCTTTTGTAATTAATATAATTTAAATTACAAATTCAGGTCCCAAAAGGAAACACTGTCTTGTAACTAAACAAAGGAGAAGGAAAGAATAATTGCATTTTAGAGAGGCCATCGAGTCCTACAAACTTCAAGCTACATAAAGCAATCTCCAGGGGCTAGCCAAGAAATTTACAGATATCGCAGAGGGCATAGAAGGTAAGATGGAATTAATGTGTGCTACTTAAAGTGCTTTTCAGCCCGCAACCATTCATTAATGAACACATGGCAAAACAGAATGGCAGTTTTAAGTTCATTTTATCTGGAAGGTTTGATTTACAGTCACATTTCAGCCTTCCTGTATCCCCTTGTGCTATGTTACAGCCTGACCTGGCAAATCCTCCGGTACAGCACTGGAGAGAAGGTCCTACTATCTTCTCAGGTCCGTGCATAGTTACACCCATCCAGACATCCCATTGGTTCTTCCTGGCCAAGGCAGCCTGCACATATTTCCAAACCAGACCCACATCATTGTCTGACACCAGCTGTAAGGATTTCAAGGAGCTCCACTTAAAAAGATCAAGTGATATGATTGAATATAGGCATGAGACCCTGCGGAGCTGTTGCCAGTCAGAGTGGACAATATTGGATGTGATAGACCCAGGGGTCTTGTTGTAGAAAAAGAGCTGCCGGAGCTCATTAGCATAACTCATTAGCATAACTTATTTGCATATGCCACGCCCCCTGACATCACCGGAAGTGACAGAAGGCCACACCCCCTGACATCACCGGAAGTGTGTCAGAAGGCCCGGCTACTTACCCTCCTGCTTCATCCTCATTCCCAAACGGAATGAGGATCGAAGCAGAGGGCGGGGTAAAGAAGGGGGCGGGGCTTCACCACGTGACCACCCCGCCCCCTAGAGGTTCTCTTCCGGAGCTCCGTACCTGAGAGCTCCCCCCCGACTAGAGCCCTGGATAGACCAATGGGCTAATGCAACAGAAGGCAGCTTCATGTGCTCACAGCTTGTCGAGCACCTACTCTTTCCCAGTCAGTCTGCCTCCTGCTAGAGCGAT